TTTTGAGCCTGGCTGCAATGACAAACAGCCATCATGAATCTACTGAGAACCAGAGTGTCCACAGAGGAAATGTGAAGTTTACTCTTAAATTTCCTTACCCAGAGCATTGGGCTTTCCCCCCTTTAAAAAAAAAAAACAAAGTCAAGTTTCATTAATTCTTCTACTCACGTGGCCTGTCTCTTCGGAGCTGCTCTGGCCACAGCTAAATCAGAGAAAGAAGGCATTAGAAAACATCTAAAGCATGATAAAATCTGGTTGCCTACGTCTTTAACTCCCTAAAACCAAAGTCTGTAAATCAGAACCGATTAAAATTTACATCTCCCATGAAAGGAAATAAAAGTAAGAAAACCCAGAGCCAAGAACAAAAATAAAAAAAAGAGGAAAGGAAGTAAGTTGGAAAAGAAGCAGAGGCCCTCCTCCACTCCTGACAGTAGGGAAATTTCATTTCACCAACCTAAAGACAGCCCTAGAGGTGATGAACCTAGAACCAACTTAGGCTAGACATCCCAAATCACATTTCAGTCTTCTCTACAAAGTCATTTTGAAATGTTACTGCTTTGAGTGGACTCTACTTACAAGACCCACTGGCGCCATCACTGCTTGACTGGACGTTAAGAATGTAACTGCAAAAACAAAAGAGATGCTTTATAAAATGAGGGCTACCGACATCATAAGCAACCAAATAGCAAAATCCCAAATAAGTGAGGAAAACAACCAATCAGAATTCCTAAAATGCAAAAGGGTTTTAAAGACTTTAAACCCTTAGGAAATTAGAATTACAACAGCAGAAGTGAACAAAAATTAGAAGCAATGAGCTACTCAGTCTTTACTACTGAATCAAGGACAGAAAAAATGTTAGCTGAGTAACATTAGCTATCAGTGAGAAGCCTGCTTTCTGCCAAGTAATTTATTTCTATTTAAAGTATGAAAGGCTCACGCCTGCAATCCCACCAACTCGGGAGGCTGAGGGGGGAAGATCGCTTGAGCCCAGAATTCAAGGTTCCAATGAGCTATGATGGCGCCACTGTACTGCAGTGTGGGCAACACAGCAAGACCTTGTTTCTAAAAACAAAATAAAAAACAAAGGCATGAAAGTGAGTCTTAGGGTAGGGGCCACAAGGGAAAGGACTTGAGGATGAAGAGATTGCAGCTAAAACTTCAAAAGGCAAAAGGGCAAGGAGGTCCCATTTCAGGGTGTACTTCTTGGAGACAGCCTACAGTTTGGGATTGCTATCTAGGTAAATGGACAAGTACTGAACTCAGTTTCATGGGGAACCAACGAAGGATAGTTTCAAAGCTACAACTGCTCCCTGCAGTGAACCATGATGCTGGGGCCTCTTGCTTCTCTGCCTCATCTGCCAGCGGCCTCAGCACTCACTCTCCACTGCTGTGTGGCAGGCCACTTTACCTCTTGCCATCACTTACCAGACAGTTGTGCGGCACTGCCTGAGGTGAAGCCAAGCAGTTCCTGCTCGGAACCCTTCAGCTCACCAGACAGCAGCCGGCTGGACTTCCACTGTCAGCCAGATCCAAACTCCAGCCCAGAGAAGTCACACTGTGGTGAGCATCACTTCACCGTCACTGCCACTCCTCCGATGTGGTGCCTGGCTACATCATAGGTCATCTTGTTATTAGTTATTGTGACACATAGTCCACTGAGGGTATCAAAATGCTGAAGGAGGGGACATAATGGCTATAAGGAATTCCAGGTTCGACATATTAAAAGTTAGAATTAGGCCAAGTGCGGTGGCTCATGCCTGTAATCCCAGCACTTTGGGAGACCGAGGCAGGTGGATCACTTGAGATCAGGAGTTCAACACCAGCCTGACCAACATGATGAAACCCCATCTCTATTAAAAATACAAAAATTAGCCAGGTATGGTGGGGTGTGCCTATAATCCCAGCTACTCTGGTGGCTGAGGCAGAAGAATCACTTGAACCTGGGAGGTTGAGGTTGCAGTGAGCCAAGATGGTGCCACTATACTCTAGCCTGGGCAACAGATCAAGACTCGGTCTCACAAAAAAATAAAAGCAAAAACAAAAAGGAGTAAACACTGATAAGAGATTAGACTAGTAAAACCTGGATGTTAAGGCACAGTTCATAGAAATACCTTGCAGAAGAAACTGACCACTTAGATAATGGGTCAGAAATAAAGAATCCAATGTTTTGAGCCTGGCTGCAATGACAAACAGCCATCATGA